CCTCTCTCTCTCTCTCTCTCTCTCTCTCTCTCTCTCTCTCTCTCTCTCTCTGGATCGTACAATCCAGTTACAATAATATACAATACAAAGCAGGAATTTTTTATTAATCGCCGTTGACATTAATCGGTATTCACATTAGTTCGTAATTTTCCTTGGAAACGTGTACAATTGATTCATATATGCCAATGAAATTGGTCCCTTTTTTCTCATATATCGCGCAACGATTAATTAAAAGTCGGATTATGTGGAAGCTTGCCGCAGAGTGAAATTGTGAATCACGTTCGGCTTGAGGCAATTAGTCGCGCTCGCATATTAAAATGTTGAGAATAATTCTGTCGCGAACGTAACGAATAAAAAATTGCTTCCTTGTTTTGCCCTGTTCGGCGGTTGCGCTTCTGGTATGGCAATCGTGGTTTAATCGCATTTTAAACATCGCACAAATCGCGCCCGGACTAGACGCGCATCCTGTTTGCTCAACTGATTGATCTACAACCTGGTATCAACCTGGATGCCTAATTTGCTCTTTATTTTATCTCTTTAAAATTTATAAAATATTCATGTTTTTTTAAAATATAATTTTCAACTTCAGTTGCTGCTTTAGTAATTGACGTTAACGTCGCGACCGCGGCATGAAAAATTTCTTTTTGGCGAAGGAGGTCTCGAAAACTTGAAAGAGATGAAAGAAACGGGTTAAGAGGCACGCGGCAGCATCCCCGGTGCATTCGTGAAAACGCAAATTCCGTCGTGGAAAGGAAGGAAAGCGCGAGGGAAGTCTTTGTGGCAAAATTGTGCCACGTCGCTCGATTGAATAAACAGGCGAGCAATAAATCACGTGTTTGCGATTCCGCAAAGCCCGTTAACGTCAATGAGTTGGTATTTTATGACTAATTTACGCGTATAGCCGTTTATTGAAGCGCCGCTATATAGATTAGCGCGTTTATCGTTATCAAGGGCTACCGACGAGTTGACAGAGATACCGAACGATTAACGCGACGTCGCACGCACGATACATTCTTGATAATCTATCGTACTTTGTTGCGCCGTAAGAAAATAATCGCAGGCTTATAATACGCTCTCACTTAACGAAAAGATCATTTTGACGACGGTGCGTGCGTGCGGCATCGCGGTAAGTCCGTTCTTTACGTCTTAGGGTCAGAGCGCGAGGCAACTTACGTCAAAGACGCAAGCGTAAGCGTAGATAGCGCACAAGCTGCGGCGTATGTCGTACCTGCCTCCAATTACATATGGCGTTACCTTTACACCAAACCTTGCGCGCTGTCTACGTTTACGCTTGCGTCTTTGTCGCGATCTATTACGTTGCTTTGCGCTCTCTGTCTCTTACCCTCCCTTCCCTCCATTCCAGCACATGGCGCACATCCTACGGCCGAAAGAATACCCTCGTCGCGTCTATTATTCTCTCGAACAGCGCGCGAAGCCGTCGCGACTATCGTCGATAAACAATAGATCGCAATTAGATCTCACGCGATCTGATACGCGACTTCTTTTCCTCCGTACGCGACAAAGTGCGATTATCCTTTCCCCGCGAATTCCGCGACGAAAACGATCGCGCGAGCGCGAGGAATTTTTCGTCGTCGCGATAATAACGATTCCGCTCGTATGAATTCGTCCAATCATCCGGCGAACGTTCTAATTCACGATCAGTCGCGAAAGGGATAACCGACGGTAAAGTGTGTCGAGTTAATCGAGTTTGTGAGTGTTTTTTTATTAGAACAAATGTACACACACACACGCCCACACATTCACATTGAGTTTTTGCATTGGTGTGCCTTTATTTAACTACAATCAGCTTTGTGAACCAGATTGCGATTTTATTTCGGACAGCATGATTTTATTAAAGCAAACGTTGTATGGAATTGCATTAGTGTATACGTTAATGGAGATGTTTTAATGAAAAAAAAGTGTTATCTAAATACAAACAAAGAAAAAGTGAATTTTAATGTCTTTTAATGCATCTTTTCTTTGGAATAAACACGAACGAAGTTTCATGAAGTTTTTTTGAATACAAAAACATTAGTAAAACAATTGAGTTTATGTAACAGCATAGATAGCTTGCATGAGGCACTCCTGAAACCGTAAGATGTAGATTTTTGAAGCGTGCGTGACTAATAGCAGAATTCGGCAGCTTGCACTTGTGCGCACTGAGTGCACCCTGAGGCTTGTTTACGGTCAATTCTTATATTTGAGGATCGTCTTAGATATCTCTTGGAATATTTCTTAGCCAGTAAAATAATTTGTATAGCGTCCATACGGGTCATTGTTTGGCCGAGCACTTTTTGAACTTGTATCTAAGACAAAATTAAATATAAGAGTTGACTATAAACAGGCCTTAGGGTGCACTCAATGCGCACTAGTGCACGCAATCGAATTCGCAATAAGAATTACTTTTATTTCACTTCAGAGCTTGACAGAAGGATAGAACGAAAAATCTATTTACTTTATCTTCGTTATTTTATCCTCGTAATTTTATCTTCTTTTATCTGCGTTCGAAGTTTCCACCGAAGCGGAGAACTGTCGTTTCTCAGCGAGATTTTCTACCAATAAGCGCGTAACGTAATTGCATTTAAAACTAAAAGGACGCTCCTTCGCCAAGCGTGATTTACGAGCGTATTCTACCGCGTGAAATTGAATTTTCGTTATTATTTCCGTATCCCCTCAGCTTCATAAGCATCAGAATCGTTTGTACCCCGAGTCGTCGGTAGCTTCGCACGGGTACAAACGGGACGAACACATGTGCGTAACGTGACATCGGCTCCAGGTCGATGTCGCGGGACGAGAGCAAATCTCGTCCTGGATTTTATTGATTTCCCCGTTGACGTAAGCGGACCGTATTAATCATTACGGTAGCTCCTTCGAATTATTTTACCCCGCGTAGTTTAGTTAGCGGGAAAAAATATTACAACGTTCCATCTTTTCGCGTTCCGTCGCATGGGAAGCAGAAAAAGGAAGAGAGAGAGAGAGAGAGAAGCGAAACGGCGTGTCCGCGGCACGAGATTGATGTCCGAAACGCGGATACATTAATCAGTATAGCGGAACGTTATCGCAAAACGAAAACCGAAAAGTCCTCCCGCTTGGCATCGTCGCGATTGATTCCGCCTCGTGATTTAATCGATCGCTCCACCTCACTTGCATTAACGTTATTACAAGGCGTTATCGATTTTCCCTTCATTTGTATTAGGGAGAGCCTCGGTGTTAGGGGAATCGTCCTCGGGGGGGGGGGGGGCGATACTCCACGAGGGGTAGATTTCGCCAGCACGCGCTGAAACTGACATGGTCTTTTTTTAAGACGTAACCTGCGCTTTAAATGTTCCGTTTTAATATTGAAAGTGTACTTGAAAACGCGAAAGAGATAAAATATCTCGGGACAAATTATTTCTACGGATAAATGCCTTTATTTAGTTTGATGCTGACGCAAACTGCGAGATACAAGTGGGCGCATTTATCGCGTCCTATTCGCCGCTTTTTCCACATCAGAAATTCTCTGGGAATGCAAATTAACTTAATTACGCGGCGAGTTTCTTCCACAACGCGGAAATGTAACGGTTAATTTAATTTTATCGCCATTCTTGCGTCATCATTACCGCGTCGTGAAGCTGAATCTCATTTCTTGATAAATTGAAGATATCGCGAATAAATACGTCAATGCGTTGGGAAAAAGATTAAGTTACTATCTTATCTATTATTGTAAGGTAAGTTGTGGACAGAGAGCTCTTTTTTTTCCTCGCGAAACAACACGTTGCTTGTTAAAGTCGTCAATCGCGCACAATTTTAATGGCATCCTCGAGATGAAATTCGGAAATGGATTCCCGTCTCTCCCCTTATTCTCGTTCAACTCGACCCTTTCCTCCCGGTCAAGGGCGTCCGAAGGCGACGGGGGAGTTCCCGAGAAACCGTTCTCCGCGCGACCTTGATCACGGCGTCTCCTTTCAGGGTCTAGGTCTCGAGACGTCGGCCGTTGCATCCCGCAGCGACCCGCGCGATCGAGATCGCGCCTCGCCAAGAGCGGCAAAATACGTGAGTGGGAGAGAGACGTGGAAACGACCGGAGGAAGCCGAACGGGAAAGAGAGATCGAGAAAATGACCCCCACTCGTGACAACAAGGAGATAGAGGGGCGCTCTTATAAAGACTATGCCTACAGCCCTGTACCAGTGAGTTCCCCCTCGGCGGTGTATGAAACACCCCCGGTCAGAGAATCTGTGGAGTTGAACGTGCACGGCAGGCCGTCCTTTCGCACCGCCGTTCATCCCGCGGAGAGGATGGAAAAAGGTTCTAAGTTCCCTCAATTCCTGGCTGCTGCTGCGGGTAAGTCCACGTCTGTCAATGAAAACGTCGAATTGATCGATTGGCGAAACGCTGTTTTCTTGGCCCCGTAGCGGAGTCTACTTTTCACGTATTTCCTCCGCTTCAATGATCGGAAAATATTAAGAGGACTTTCGAAATTATTCTCCGAAATGTGACGGCGTTTGGTGGATTAAATTTTTTCAAAACGTCGCATTTATTTAAATTGTCATAATTTTGCTCTTACTTGTCACTTAATGAGAATTACAGCTGCCACTCCGTTTTATTACGCGAATAATAGAAACAATCTGAGAAATGTTTTAAATTGAATTTTATAAAACAAGATTGCAGATACGGTATTACAAATAACGAGTGACATTATATAAATAATACGCTGCTTACTTAATGTTCTTCATTAATTGGCCACGGTGCATTTTAAATTTCAAGCGTGGAAAATTTTCTGCTCGTCAACGGTATACTGCGGTGAATTTATGATTGCACTAGGACGAATAATCACCCTTACTTTACACTCAACTCGATCGATCGACTCGGGGGAGGACGTTTTTCGCGTCGGTTACGCGGTCACATTCCGGTCGTTCTGTGTTTTCAAATCTCGCCGTCAAAAGTGACCGAAATACATATACGCGGTGTAGCATTAGATTTGACTTAATCTTTTCATCGCGGAATTGTTTTTTCTTCTTTAATCCTCCCTCGAAAGAAGAATCGGATTGCATTATGCATTCACCGGCGTGGAGGACTTAAAGTGATCAGATTGGATAATGGGTGCAATAAATCACACGATTTGCTTTTTGATGGTGCACTTACTCTTTTGATACGAGTGACATTAATTGAAGAAAATGTAGAGGCACGATACGCCGGCTCTCACCACGTGGGGATGCACGCTGCAGCCTGCATCTAGCACATGCGTGACGCTAGGCATCGATGGCATCCTCAGAAAGGGTTTTTGTTACTGAGAAAAAAATATTCTTGACGCATTTGTAGTTCTCACAACCTCAATTAGTGTAAAAATAAAATCAACAATTTTTATTCTCCTCTGTTGAATTAAAAAAGATTGACTTACTATATTGAGACGAGAGTGACTTATACAGGGTGTTGAAAAAAAGGGTTACATATTTTGATAAGAGGTAGTATTGGTCAAAACAAGAAGAAAAGGTCTAATTAACATGGGTCCTAAGACTAATACATATCTTCAGAGATACAAGCTATTTTGTTATTTGAGCTCTTTGTCATTTTCTTATTAGTCGTGTCATCTTTAGAATGTAATGAACAAAGGAGTAGGGAAGAATGGGGTACAATGGGGATATCTTTTTTCTAGGTACTTTGAAAACAAGAAATGAACAAAGAGAGATAAAGAAACAATTTTTATTTTATGAAATGTAATCATTTATCTTCCTGACTTGTGGTGTCTATTGCGAACCAAACGTAAATATCAGGAGAGAGAAATGAAGTTATGGTGCGCGTGACTTGAAAGAGTGCGTGATTCTCTAAGACGTTCATTACATTCTAAAGATGACACGACTAATAAGAAAATGACAAAGAGCTCAAATAACAAAATAGCTTGTATCTCTGAAGATATTAGTCTTAGGACCCATGTTAATTAAACCTTTTCTTCTTGTTTTGACCAATACTACCTCTTATCAAAATATGTAACCCTTTTTTTTCAACACCCTGTATAAATGTAAGTTTATATATTCTTGCGTTTAGAATAAATTTTCCCTCCATCTTACAACGCACGAAGTTGGCACCACGATGTTCGACAAAAGACCATTATTTTATTCTAGATTTTAGAACTTTTCATTCAAGATTCAAGTATTCCTTTCTCTATAATAAATATGATTGGCGCTATGTCGATCCTATTTTGTGATACATTCAAGTGCAATAGCATCGGATCTGGAAATTTTTTCTGTGGGTGTGTCCACGAGAATTATTCTTGTACAATACGCATTCTGTCCGTTGTTAATTTAGCCAGTCTTAATAAAATATTTCACAATCTTCCGACTTAGCTGCCTTCTTCTTTTTTTTTTTACCACAGCGAACAGTTTAGCGATACAAGTCAAAGACAAAAAATGAATACGCGACGATGCTGCAGAATGATTCCATCTTAATTATTGTTTACGTTACGTAAGTTCATGTCGGTACGCGAGAGTCCAATAATATTACTTTATGAAACTTTAATGGATAACAATGTGATAGTGCAACGATAATGCAACGAAAATGTTATCTCAGGTGAGCACGTGTGGTCAAATGCAAATATTATTGTAATAATACAAGAGTCTCTATTGTATGTTCATCGATTTTTCACTCTTTAATTTTTCAAGTAACCAATAAAATAGATCGAGTAATCATAACGAACAGCGAGATAAAACAAGGTAAGCACTTATCACTACACAGAGTAATAAATGGAATTTATTTGAAAGGATTTTTATTGTTGAATAGCCGTTTATTTAAATGTTTCGTAAGCCCTTTATAAATTTTGTAAAACTTTTCGCTGATTCTTTTGTCTTAAAGTATAATTTCCTTAGATTATTGCACTGAAGAGCTCATCATTTACGATGTCTTCGAAGTTGTTTTTCCTCAATATGTAAATGATGAGAATCGAAGATTCGCGGCAAAAAAGCAGGGAAATAAATGCGCGATTCAATTCGCTATTAAAACTCGTGCGATGCCGTTGCGCGGTGAGAAAGACGAAAACCGAGACAATTAGTCTGGTCGACCGGTCCGAGATTAGCTGCTCGGGCTTGAGGTATCAGCATCGAAAACCCGCTTGGGAAAGTAAGAACAAGGTATACGATGGCGGGCTACGTGCCGCGATTCATGTCCACCGGCGAGTCCTTCGTGTGTTCGGATGACGGGAATATTAAACGATTCACATCCGGCGCTCGACCGAATTCAATCTTAACCGACAAAGATCGCAATCGGTTTAAACTACTTCCTCATTACCGGTTGCAGGAGGCAGCCGGTCGGAGCGAGACCCCGAAGTGAGAACTCTAAAGTTGGAGGGGCCTCTCTCGCGGCGCAAGTCAATCGAATTCGTAATGAGGCCAGCGGCGAGCCCTTCGATTGTTCGGTAATGATCACCGGTCGGATGGAGAGCGACCTGATTCTCAATGGAAATCAGTATTCGGTTCCCTAATGCATGTTCCTTATCAAACTCGGAACTAGCGAGAAAAGAAATAAAACAAAACCACGCCGCCACCTCGCTGTATTATTAAGAAGGAACTTCGCGTTCGTACTTCGCCTCCCGCGACTAAATCGGGGAAGAACCGCGCGGAACTGAATTATTTAAATTTCTGCGCGCAGCGCGCGGTGACACGCTCGGACACATAAAAATTCAGATCAGCTCTGATTAGCTCCGCAATGCCGATTCGCGCGAAATCAGTAAATCGCGCGAGCAGCGAGAGCGAGAATCCTTGAATGGAGAAACGGAGATCCACGTATCTTAACCGCACCGATTATTTATTTATGCGGAAACCGGAAATGCGGATAGATTTGATTTCTCTATTTAGTATGAACGTCAACTGGTACGCTGAGAAAAAACTTTTCGCTACCGTAGCTAGTCATAGTTGGCTGAAAATATTCTGCTGCCATAACTATTTTCTAGATCACAGCAAACAATTTGCTGTCGCACCTAATACAATAGGCACAGCAGCAGAATATTTAGCTATCACGACTAAATATTAGCTGTTCATATTTTACACCTGAAATTAGTTGCCGCGTACAGTTTTTAGCTACGGCAGCTACATTTTTCTTTCCTTACAACCGAACAGCCTACGTTTGCATGCATCAGCATGTCCTCGTGACGTTAAAGTTTCCATGACGAAAGGCCAGGACACCTCATGGCCATGTACACACAATACATTTGATTAGAACACGTGCGATAGGTCGCGATATTGTATCACAGTCCAACGAATCTAAGGCAATACATTTATTAACTCGTTTGGCAAAAGTTTGGCACTCGAATATGCACCTACAGAAAAAATTTCCGGATCCAATGCTATTACACTTGAATGTATCATAAAATAGAATCGATATAGCGCCAATCATATTTATTATAGAGAAAGGAATACTTAAATCTTGAATGAAAATTCTAAAATTCTAAAATCTAGAATAAAATGATAGCATGTATCGTCTTTTGTCGAATATTGCGTTGCCAACTTCGCGCGTTGTAAGATGGAGGGAAAATTTATTCTAAACGCAAGAATATATAAACTTACATTTATATAAGTCACTCTTGTCTCAATATAGTAAGTCAATCTTTTTTAATTCGATAGAGAAGAATAGGAACTAAATGAGGTTGTGAGAAATATAAATGCGTCAAGAATATTTTTTGCCTCAGCAACAGAAATTCTTTCCGAGTGTGCGCAACAGAGTTTCCGCATTGACGACTGTGCATGTTAGAAATACATTTGTCAGCTTACAATTTAAAATTAATTTATCCCGCCGTAAGCAAAAGTTTTCATGCGGAAGCTTATCGAGCGCAAAAGATTAATCTCGGTGTGAAGAATCCCGCAAGAGATTCGGAATGCATCGTAATTCGATCGCATTACCTGCCACTTTCGAACTACTCCAATCTTGTTTATTAAGCCGCAAAGTGATATTTCTTTGATAAGGTAACAATCTTGAGATTGTTTAGAATTAGCTAGAAGTAATTGGTAAACAAAAGTTAGTTATCTTGTCGATGCATATACAGACGTCAGACGTAATTAAAATCTCTTAATCTGCATCGCTAAGTGGACTCGGTGAACAGGTTCTCACTTAAATGTCAATTAAGACGAAATGAGCTTGTTATTCGTAAAAAAAAGAATTTCTATGTTTAGAGACGACAGCTTTCGGAAACGTCGTTGGAAGTGGTTCGCGAATATGCAACGGAATCTCTGTATATTTTTCCGTGCATCCGAAATAAGATACTGTTGAATTTATTCCGAGCCTTTTACGAGTTGTTTATTCGATTATTTATCTTTATCGATCCTCGAGATCTCGCGTACGTAAAAGCCCAGTTTTGCTGTTTCAGAGTATCGACAGCTACGCAATGGAATATCATTGTCGTGACACTTTTATATTCTCAATCGGGAAATTTTTCCCGAATATCGCGTTATCTGCGGCAACGCCTCTCTCTGTCGCGCGCGCCCGTCGTTAACTATCGATTACGTTATCCTATCTCGTTGCCCTCATTTTTAATCCGTTGCAATTTTACGCGCGTGTCGGATGCTCCGTCGCGCGGACGTCAATGTTTGCCGGTGGCGCAACGTCAATTGCGAATTTTGCAACGTAAATGACGGTGACAATATTTACAATCGCGCGTGAAAATATATGTCGACGATGTCCAGACCACTTTTCTGGCTATCGAGCGTAAAAAAAAATCACGCATCTTTCAAAATCACGTTCCGTCACGCGTCCCATTATCGTAATTCATTAAGCGATATCGTTCGGCGATCTCGAGAAAAGAACGGCTCCTTTCTACGTAGAAAAGTGATTATATTGTCTGTCGGCTGTAATCTGGATTGCCTTATCGCGACGATAGAAGCGATTCTTACGGCCGTACTTTTCTCGATCGCAGACGTGATTGATGACTTTCCAATATTATTCCACGGTCTTTAACATCGTAGTGTCTCGTACACAACGTACAGGTACACATAGCATACTGTGTATTGCATAATAAACGCGGGCCATTTTAATGCTACATAATATAATCCGTCCAAAAAGAGCACATGTGTTGTAAACTGGCTTTTACGGTGTAAATTCTTAAGCGTTGGTAAATTAAATTCTAACGGCATAAATTGAGTGTTTTGAGTTGTTTAAGGCAAATTAATTTTTAAACAAGTACCCTTGGAATGCGGGGGGGATTCCCTCGCATCTCGTTCATATTTCGAGGTGTCAGTTTTGATTGCTTAATTGGGGACCTCCACTCAATTCGCGACGTGCGGTGCAGCGTCGTTTCGTAAGCGGATTTAACTGCGCCTCGTTGCTTATCGGTTTTTACCGCTCGCCATTTTGTTCGCCCATTTCGCGTATTTCTGTCGCGCGATAATCCAGCCGTGTGCCGTGCTGCGCGCGTGAACGCGGCGTAAACAAAGGGGCAGGTTGTCAATTCGCAACAAAAGCGAGCGCACTGCGGATACGAGTGCAGCTTTAACGAGCCGACAAATAAAGTTAAGAAGATTAAGAAGGATTGCGCCGGTTAATATGACGACGGGTCATCGTCGGGCTCTAACTTTGACTACTTTAAGCTGCAGCATTGACATCAACTATGATATCTGGTTCGGGGGCAAAGGGGTATCGGATCCTTGCTATTTCAGCGACACGCTTTCGATACTGGCAGCTTTATTTTGAAAGTCTTGCCAGATTACGCTGCCCCGTACCAAAATACCCAATCTTTATTCAGTTATGAAAACGATTTTAAATCTCTGCTCCCACAACGAGATCGCTTACTGCCTCGATAAAAGATATGTCAATGATAAACAACGTAATACGAAAACGTGATAATGCGATTGTATTAATCCCACAAATGATTTACGTACGAGAAATTTTAATTGCTCAATGCCCTCGAGGTGGAAGCCGTCACCTATGCTGCAAGTTTGAAAGCGCACCTTTAACCATCTGATATTTAAATTTTCACCTCTGAAAGAATGAGGTTATTAGACTTATAAAGTCTATATACAAGATTTATAATGCGATCTAAAGTTATAGAAGGCATCTTATCGTGGCCGGCTGGACGATAAGAGAAACGTCGAATCGTTCGGCGAGTGCATGCTCGATGGATGACACAGTTGCGGAAAAATTATTATCAACGTGGAAATTTTTCACGATTGAAAATAAGGCGTCACGTGCCGCACGATCTTTTCCTATTCACGTTACCTCGTGGCGTTTTACATTGCGAGGCTACGATTCAGGACGCGTATCTATGCATCTGGATCTGTACATTCGCGATAATACTTGGCATGGAGCTGCCGCGTGGGTAACAGATAATCGTTATCGCCTCGTGTCAGGTGGGATCAATGGGGAAAATATTTGAGGCTCTCGCAGTGTACATACGTGAACACCAAGTGTTGCTTCCGGGCTGGAGTAGGGTCGGGTTGTCCCACTCTGATGGAACAAACTGAAATGCTCGACGAAAAAAATGTTCAACGGAAACGTCTGATGAAACGAAACTGCAAACTTGTGCCGCTCCAATCTGGAGGTCTAGCGTCAATGAGAAAGTAATTTATCAAGTTCAGCACAAGTTATTGCCAACTCGGCAATCGCATATTATCGAGCGCGCACGTGCGCAGAGAGATCGAGAGGAAATAGTCCCAGTGCAGACGTGATAGTCGCAATTTAAGCCCACGCAATTGTGACAATCCACGAAGGTTCTATTTGTCTCGTATTTTACTCGCGTATGAAAAAGAGTCGTATACCACGAGCGCATAGGCAAATTGTTTGTGCATTCCCTCGTGAGCATTGATGTCTTATGTGACATCTAAAGGACAGCTTAAATTGTTCGAGTTATCGCTCGGAGCTGTCGGTGAGACGTCTTTACAACATCTTCAAGACATCCCGACGCATACGTCTTTGAGATATTGTTTAAAGACGTCATTTTGACACACGTCTCGTTTGGGTGGTGTACGTTATAATTGAAAAGTTCCATGCCAGATCGTTTGAGGAAAGTTGCAATTCTCATTGAAGAGGATTTACGTTACCGAAGATTACGTTTCTTGCAAGCGAATTAACAATTTGATATTGATATGAGCTGCGGCTGGATTAATTGATTATTGCAAACGCAAATTTTGCTTGCGCAATACGACACCGTTCACTGAGAGAAAAAAAAATAGTCATTTTTGGAGCCAACCATATTTTGGTTTATGACAACCAATATTGTGGTTATGAGAACTATCACATTGTTAGGTCAACCATAATTTACGTTGGAGGAATTATAAAAAATATGGTTGGCTCCAAAAATGACTATTTTTTCTCTCAGTGTTGTTTCCCTTACTGTAATTTTGTTAACGATCGTCAAGATATCTCAAGAAGTAGTCCCGTGTTCACATTAAATATCGCGGTTGCAATTGCAATATTTGAGAACAACTTCCAGTGGCGGGTAAAAGCGACGCTAATGTAATTCGAATGGAACAGAGTTTGCGCTGCTTTCCGCGTGACCGGTACATTGTTGTCAAAGCTATCGAGGATATTCTCTTTCCCCGCGGAAATGCAAAGTCCTGTGTCTCACGCCGTTAACTTTCATATTACGTTATGACACCACCGGCGAAACCGTATCTTTCGGGTGTCACGTGCACGCGCGCGGCTCTTACGCCACGTTAACGCCAGTTCGATATCGCGACGCAGCGATGCAACCGCATGCCGCGTCGGAGAATTACGCGAATGCGTGAATGCTCTTCGTCTCTCGTCAAATTTGAAACAAAAGAAACGAAATATTCAAATTTGGGCGCGCGATAGATCGATGCAAATTCTTTTACCTAACTCTCGTGAGATTTCGACGTACATTCAAGGTACGTCGAATTTATTCGCGACTCTCTACTGCTGGATATCCTCTGCTGCATTGCAGTTTAAATCTCTACTTTGTAAGTTTCATACGTGTACCGATCGCTGTTCCGTAAAGCCGGAAGCACCGCGAGCCTTGGATCTCACCGCGTTACCTGAAATACGCAATTATGTAAAACCACTTTATCGCCGGAAAAACCTTCAAAGCGCGCTTTAACTTGCATTTCGTCAGCGGAGCATTGACGGCAAGTTATCTCGATCGCTACCACGATTGGGCCGCTAATCTCGAGACGGAATACATCTTGGCAAAATCAATTTCTTGGGAATGGGTAAAAGTTATAATGTGAAATTTTGTTCGAGACAGATAGATACCTCCCTTAAGAGTTTCCCGTCTGACGAAACGATTTTAGTAATTAAATTTTAAACAACCGTGACTTTAGCTTTTGTAAAAAAGTATACAAATCTTATTTCGCGATAGAACACAGAACTGTGACATAAGAGTTAATTTTTTATAAAAAAAGTACAACATTGTCATATTCAGTAACGTGTTACAGTTCTATTCTTATACGTTTTTAATTATATATGATAAGAGAACTGATTTAAAAAACCGATTTCGTCATTATAATCAGACTCGGTAGTTTGGCACATGCACAATAAATTTTAAGAACAAAAATAAAAGAATAGCAAAAATGTTAACTATATTTTTAGAAAGTGTGTCAATAGTGCAAGCATATTAAATATTTAGCAAACGCGACAATGATTGATAGACGTGATATGCGCGAGTGAACGAGTGCAATGGTTTATCTTCGCGTGTTTATCTACGGCTTAACATAAATTCACATTTGTAGACTGACGGATATTTTACTAAGCCCCATTAAAGCGATAAAATAACGATCAGAAGATGTTGCTTTTCGATATGAAAGCTGTGGATTAACAACGCGTGCAATTATAAACGTCATTCAATTCCAAGAGATTAACAGCACGTTTATTCAAACACGCGAAGAAGTTATGCAAATATTTCTGTGATTATTTGTCGTGGTCACCGTTTGTATTTACTGGAATTTTGTACAATTGCAGCTAATTTATCGGTCCTCGCGACTGGTGCAGCTATAGGGTGGACAAGCCCGATTCTCCCTGTACTGGAAAACGATGGTGGACCTTTGGGGTCGCGAATCAGCAGAGACCAGAGTTCATGGATAGGATCTCTGGTGGCCGTCGGTGCTCTCGTCGGCAGTTTCGTGTCGGGATATCTCGGGGAAAGGTATACATTAACTGTGCAATTGCGCGAATAATTTAGCAATATAGCGATTTGACTGTAATATACGTTTCATTTCCCGAGATCACGAGCTGGAAAAAAGAGCCAATCTCTATGAACCCCGATGGGAAAATGTCTCAAATATTGCGTAATCATATGTGTCATCCGAAAGGACGAAATTTCACAGTGATTTGCATTAAAATAATTCGCCAAAACGCAACCTGTTTTGCTGATATACTATTTAGAAATACATTGTGCAAATATTTATCAATGTTTTACGAAAGGCCTCCAGTTCTGTATACGCTGTTCGAAATATCTACACATAATTCCAGCGTTTCAAGTTTCATTCAGATTTCGTCGCATATTTTGTTACATCTTTTCCTTTCGGGGAAGAAATAAAGCGGGTATCAGAATCGAATATTTGACGGAAGAGACTGAACTAAGGACGATGAGAAACGAACTTTTTCTGTTTCTGTAGATGGGGCCCTAAACGAACATTGCTATCTTGCATAGTGCCGTTTCTTATTGGATGGATACTTGTCGCCACTGCAGGCCACGTTGCTCAGCTTTATGTTGCTCGATTTATATTTGGATTGGCTACGGCTGTCACATTCACAATCCTCCCTATGTACTGTGGAGAGATCGCCGAGGTAGTTTTATTTTACATGCGTGTACAAGCGACACATTTATACACGCAGATTCCAAGATTATTCTTTTCTTCTGTCCCCCGTTTAAAATGTAACGGGGGATCGGTGTTTAATTTAATATTTAATGCGTATACATTTTTCTACCGTTCAATCATTTTGTTTGTATGATCCTCTCGCGGGGTTTTTCGAACATTTATATCCCACCTTCGAATTTATGAACACGACTGGAACAAATAACGTTACTATTTCTCTACTAAATCTTTCTTTCTTCGTTAAATAAATTGCTCATAATAGCAAATTTACATGACTATTGTTATATCTTTTCAGACTTCTATCAGGGGATCGTTGGGCTCTTTCCTTCAGCTCTTTATCACGATCGGTTTCCTGTATGCCTACGCCATCGGGCCATTCGTCAGCTACGTGGTCTTTTGGATTCTTTGTAGCATCTTGCCGGTGATCTTCTTCGTCTCCTTCATGATGATGCCGGAGTCTCCGTATTTCCTCCTCAAGCAGGGACGTAGAGACGCGGCGATCGCGTCTCTAGCGAAGCTCCGAGGCAAGTCCGAAGCGGCTGTCCAGAAAGAGGCCGACGAAATACAAGTAAATTTAGCAAAGCATAATTTTCTCTGGTAAAATTCTCTGCTCTAGACAATGTTCTTAAGATTCGCGTGGATCAAGAATCAGTTTAACTCTCGGTGATAACCTCCTATTAATTCTTCGTTAAGAAATTTAAATTGTCGAGATATTCAATTTCATGAAAAGCTCTGCCAGGAAAATGTAACGATATAAATTACCCCAATAAAAATTTCCCTCGCGGCCGTTTATGGCTTCGTCGATTTCTCAAGTGACGAAGCAATCGCTAATGCCACCTGCTCGGTCACGAGCACGTACTCGATCATTGCTAAGCGTCCGAGTGTATATTATCTGTCAGGTCGCGTTAGATAAACGAGGTCGCGGCTAAGGCCGTTCCTTGATCCTAAACGACAATGTCTCACAGTCGCGAGGGACAATTGTGACTGGCCTGCAAACAACATTCCTTCCTACAACGCAGAGTCTCGCAGAACTGCCGGGTGTTCTTTCAGTCACACGTGGCTGTGTTAAACAAGGAAACGTGCAGATATTGCTGCAACGTTATTGCGAAAATAATTTCGTCGTCCGATTGTACACGGATGGCGAATGTGCTGCAGTGTTGACTGAAACTTTATCTTTCAACAATAATTCGATCGTTTTGTTATCCCATTTGTTTTAGAATATTCTACGGGCAATTTGTTACGCTCCAGCTTTCACGTTTATCGCTTACTAAATTCTCGTTTTTGGTTTTTTTTGTTTCAGGAGATTCTTGACGATGCTTTCAAGAATCAAGTCGGCATCTCGGAACTGTTTAAAGTGAAGGTGAACTTCAAGGCGCTGATCTACACATGTGCCATGGTTTCGTTCCAGCAGTTTACCGGTATCAACATCGTGCTGTTCTATATGCAAAATATCTTCATTGCTGCCGGAGGTCTCGTCCCAACGGAGATAGCTCCGATTATCATCGGAGTTGTGCAGGTGTTAGCGTCAGCGGTGACACCCTTGGTTGTCGACAGATTAGGCAGAAGAGTGCTCCTCGTTTTCTCCGGCATCGGGGAGACAGTCAGTTTGGTGAGTAATTGTCCACCTTTTTAGATTTTGATTCAAATTAATCATCGCTGAATTAGCAAAAGTAAGATGTACACTTTTGAAGAAAGGATTCATTTAATTTGAATCTGGGGTGTAATTTTGTTCAATTATTAGAAACTCGTAGAATAAGCATCTCATTGGCAAAGATAATTAACGAAGTGATATTTTTCTCCTATTTTCTGCGAGCCTTACGTTTCTATGAAATCAATCGCGGTCATTAATAAAACATTGAATAGTTTGTAGCGAATTAATACGCGATCTGGCCTTTAATATATTTCGCATTAAAACTTTTACAAAGTTCTTGTACTTCTCTCTTGATAAATAACAGATCGATTCAGAAATTTGCACGAGAAGTCCGAAATTAGAGTATTCATGAGGCAACGCGGTTTCCCGTAAACTTTGCTTCCTGTTTTATGCAACGAGTTGTAATTTCGTCGCCTTTCGACAAAATGATGAACCTGTGCAGTTTGTTCGAGTAAACATGCGTTGTCGTGTTGGTCCCAATTTTAAAGGCACTCAAGGAATTTAAATCAAAATCGTTGAAGTCACAAAGATAAAATTTTTATCAAGAAACGCGATTATCCTTTGACTCGTATTTAATCAAAAGGTACAAAATGCAATTGAACTTTAGATCAGACACTAATTAATATACTGAACAGAATTATCATTTTTATCAGCTCCATTTCATTTGATTAAACAAAAGTTTGGTTTCTGTAAGCATCGGTGTTCGTTAAACGAGCTAAATTAGAGAAGGATAAAAATATTGCAAGGCATTGTTTCAGTACCGATAGTTGCGTTCTATAAACTACTTTCGCAATAATTTGTAGATGATTAGCGCTAATTGTTTCGCGCCGATTTATTCTCATCCTCACGCTGCATTACATGCAGCTCATTAAATGATATACAATGCGAGACGAGGAAGGCCGAATGTCATTACATGTACGGAACATCATTACGCATTCCGATGGAATGTAGTGGAATATAGATAAAATTCAGTGCTCGAGGACTTCCACGTAACCGAGTATGCATGATTACGACGGCGTATACAATGAAACGCGACTGTGAATCGAGAGAATTATAATTCTTGCATTTTAGGATTCTTTTGAAAACCGAGTCTTCTTTTTGTTGCCATTTAGAGGCTATTCCGGTACTTTGGGACTTCAATAGTTAAAATTGTGGGATATTTCAGAAAATTTTTAGAGGGATGCGTCATAGATTAAAATCTTTTTAACACAGAACGTGTTCAGTAAAACATTGAATTATTTTATTACGTAAATTTTGACTCTCGCTCTATTATGTAATTGTCGTGTGACCGGACATTTATTTATTTTGCAGTGTGCCCTAGGCTTGTATTTTTACCTGAAGGAGGTACAGCACGCGGACGATGTGGTGAATCAGATATCCTGGCTACCGGTAGCCTCGCTTATAATTTTCATTGCCACGTACAGCGTAGGATGGGGTCCGCTTCCATGGGCAGTGATGGGCGAGATGTTCGCCTCGAACGTTAAAGCTAAGGCTTCGAGTATAACAGTATTCGTCTGCTGGTTATTGGCTTTCATCATCACCAAGTTCTCCAGCAACCTCGAAGTGGCGTTCAACGGCATGTTCGCGACCTTCTGGATGTTCGGAGGATTCTGCATTCTCAGTATCCTTTTCACGGTATTATTGTTGCCCGAGACGAAAGGCAAGACTCTTCAGCAAATTCAAGACGAGCTCAGTGGGGTGACTTCCACTACAAGTGTCGAGAATGGGACGAAGAAGTGAGCGGGAAACACTCACGTTAGATTATTCTGACAAATTGTCTACGCTGGACATCTGATGAATTCGCGAGACACTTCGAAGAGATTGGATATTTAAAATATATTCGCGAGAATTCGTAAGGATTTATATCTTTTTAACAAATTGAAGGATTTGATATCGTCTATAGCGGAGAAGGTTCAAGTAAATTACCAGAAATTGCGCGGATAATATATGTGCCTATATTCTACTGCCAAATTTATAAAGATATATAATACGAGAAAAAGAAACGTCTTTAAGCTTGGGCCACCATTTAGTGTCCTGTTGCTAATTAATGAAAATTCAATTAAAGAAAAATGGAAATTTGCTCGAATTTAAACATAGGATAGATTCTATTTTGCTCATATACGCATGCGGAGACAATTTTCTTGTTTCCCAGGTGGAACCAAATCTACTTTGTCGTCTTCCACACACTTTACATAACGCTTAACGCGACACACGGCAATTGTTCGTGTGTACAATGTAAGTCATGGATAATTACAAATACGCTTGCGTTAAAGATACTTCGACACGTATCTCTGTTCATGAGCTTCATTTTTCAAACATAAAGGAATTTGTGACGTGCCAGTAAACGTTCCTAGCGTTTTCAAGCAAGTTCCTGCCTGGTCCGTGATTAGAAAACGCGGTGAAATATGCGATTCTTCTGCTTGCATTTTATCAGGATTTTTTCTAATACGTATACTAGACGTAAAGTATTAAAAAAAAACTAAAAGGATTAATTTCGCGGTGTATTTCTCGTTCACGGATGAGAGACTAGTCATTTTACTACATGTCTGCATAGAAAACGCAATTATTAACGACGCCGTAGATATCGAAGCTTAAGAAGAAAATTTCATGTCTACCGTTTATGACGACAGTGGAAATTTAATTTATATCATTTAAAGGTACCAATAAAACGGTAAATGTATTTGGTGTGAAGAGAGAAAGAGGTACGAAGCAAAACTCTATTTTCAATTGAGAATGACAAATCCGTTATCGATGTATTTAATCATCTAACATAATTTTGGCTAATTTACATATATTTCAAATAATTATAATTACGCGAAAATAATTTTAAGAAATGATACCCGAACATTGTATTATTAGTTCATATCACATTCGTTTTCTAAGTTATTGTATAAGTAATTTTAATATATTATTTGTAATATCTGACTTTTTAATAAGTGGTACTATTTTCAAGCGCGCGATGTATTTTTTCTTCTTAATTTAAAGAGAGATATGACACACAAATTATTAATTTAATATCATCTCAATATACTGTGAAACATGTTAATGATAATTTATAAAAGATTATTCTGTTAGATGTTTTCTGATATTAGTTCCAAAATCTAACTTACAAAACAAAATTATATAATAATGAAAATCAAAATTTTATTAAAGTTTTTTTTTGACAAATGAGTGCAGATTGCATATATTAATCAGTAACTAAGACTTTTTTAAACAATTTACAATAATTACAATAATATGATAATGTGTCGAAATAATATTTTATAAAGTATATGTATATGCCGAGAATAAGAAATTTTAAAAAAAATTAATGTTGTCGAATGGTTTAATATTGATTTTGACGCGTCGTCAGCTCGAAACGACAACGACGAGCGCGGTAGTCCGAGCATTCGACGCGTCAAGATCGATGCTCGAAGCGAATGCAATTCGGTCGATGAACATAGAAAAGTTTGAGGATAAAAATTCTCCAACGAATATACATATTCCGGAGTTGAGATTGCACTTCTACGATGTCGCAATGATATCGTATCAAAAGACTGGTTCATTCGAATTCGGTTGCATGCATTTAATTTCATCTATTTCGATCACCATCACAAACAACAAACTCGTTAAATTGATAACGACGCAGGAAAATTTGCGCGATAATGAGAATATGTTATTTTTAAGAAACGTAGTGTTAGAAACGCAACAGAAAGGTGGCTCGAGCTTATTACCGAAAGATATTCCTGCTTTGCTTCGTTGGATTCTTGATGAGAATCTATTGCTTTTTTGCGACAAATATGGTATCTATATAGATTTAGTTTCAAAAAACGGCCGAGAGTCCTAGGCTCGTTGAGATTATTTTTGTTGATGCGAGACAGGCGGCAAGTGCCAGAGATCTAGGACTTATATTAAGCCGTAATATGAATGTAAAGGAATGCAAATAAAAGCTAGCTTTTTTTATATATACTTATTTTGCTACCGCTTTCGATTGAGATCAATGTGTCTTTTAGAGAAAATTTATTTTCCCTAAAAGACACATTGATCTCAATCGAAAGCGGTAGCAAAATAAGTATATACAGGGTGAGTCATAACATTTGTACCAGAGCTCGTGAAAAGATAGAACGGATCGAGATGAACAGAAAAGTCCTGAACCATTTGCAATTTTCGCAATAGTTAACGAGTAATAAATTATCGAAAATCGTCGTCTTTGCCCTGCCCACTGTCCAATTCGAGCGCGTGGCGAGATGTGACCGCCCGGCGATCGATATTGCCAGGCGAGGGGGGGGGGACAGCGCGCCGTATAAAACCGGCCCTCACCCTGTATAAAAAAGCTAGCTTTTATTTTCATTCCTTTACATTCATATTACGGCTTAATATAAGTCCTAGATCTCTGGCACTTGCCGCCTGTCTCGCATCAACAAAAATAATCTCAACGAGCCTAGGACTCTCGGCCGTTTTTTGAAACTAAATCTATATAGATACCATATTTGTCGCGAAAAAGCAATAGATTCTCATCAATAATCCAACGAAGCAAAGCAGGAATATCTTTCGGTAATAAGCTCGAGCCTCCTTTCTGTTGCGTTTCTAACACTACGTTTCTTAAAAATAACATATTCTCATTATCGCGCAAATTTTCCTGCGTCGTTATCAATTTAACGAGTTTGTTGTTTGTGATGGTGATCGAAATAGATGAAATTAAATGCATGCAACCGAAATCGAATGAACCAGTCTTTTGATACGATATCATTGCGACATCGTAGAAGTGCAATCTCAACTCCGGATTTTTT